TGACATGAGAATTTTATATATAAGATAATTATTGACATTACGTTCCTAATTCTTGAGCGACCGAACCTGATTATTTTTTGTGTGTTCAAGTGGATTCGAGAATGGTTTCAATTCGGTTCACACAAAATGTTTTTTTAGTCTAAGAGATACATTGGAGCAGAGACTCGATGAAAAATGTTGTAAAAACGGGGAAAGTTTATGCTTTTTGACAGACGCAGACGAAGTAGCGCGGTCAGGTAATCTTTATTTATTCTATGCAACCAGAGTGTGCCACAGCGAAGCGTGACAGGGTACAGCTAGTATATAGTATGATGTTACATAGTAAAGTTACTACGTAGCTTCTTATTGATTCTATGATAACACAATATGGTTTAAATAAAAGTTTTAATAAAAAAACATCTAAGGTGGGTGGACCATGGAAGGCCACTCTAAAGAATAAACACTTTTTATTCGTATATTTACTGGATAAATGAAGGAAACAAATTGTTAAGGCATACTTTGGTTTATTGTGTACCATAGAAATCACTTTTTTTTACCTAGCTTTAATAACTATTTATTAAACTTAAGTTTTATTAAGCTCTTCCAAATGGCCTTGCAAGGAACAGGGCTCCAAACAAGGCCAATATTATAATTCAGTCGTTCAACTTAAAAATAGAGTTGTAACAATTAATATATCCGCTTTTACTAAAAGTACATAAAAAGCTCTTTCATTTAAGCGAAACATTAAATGCACAATATATTTTTATTATCTATAAAAAGCACAATGAACATAACTTGAACACCATCTTATAACTAAGAATATATTAATGGAAATTGTTTAAAACTAGTAGTAATAAATATTATATTGATATAAAATAACTTGCCAACGCGTTTTATAATCAAATTAAAAACTTTTTTTTTTACCTTATATGGCCTTCTTAAGGCTCCGTTCTTTGTAAGGCCACAATGTTCCTAAGAAGGCCAAACTAACAATCTATGACTTTTTTATATTAATTATAATCAAATAATAGACACTACAGACGTACTGTTATTATTACAAACTTATCATGGCACATAGTCAGTCTTGTAGTCAGGAATGTTTAACATCTTAAACTATCTTCGTTCCATGTACTACCTCTTTTTCTAGGTTTTGACTGTGACATTCTTGAAATCTGAAATAATACGTATAAATTTGATTCATCTGTTCAATTACCAACTTATTGATATAATTTTTTTTTGCTTTAATTATAGTTTTAGACAGACTACTTATCTTAGATATGCAATTTTTAACTTATCTCATACTTACTTTACCGCTTTTATCAAGCAAATATTTTTATATTCGTAGCTTTTCATGTAAATTAGTTTAGTTTATTTCCAGACATAACCTCTTCATAGACATAAAATAAATTTAAATATAAATACTGAAAATAAAATAATTTTGAAAAAAATGTCTATTCAGTCTGAGTTAAAAGTTAGAAAACCCTTAAAAAAAATTATAAATATAAAACATTGTTTTAACTTTAACGGTACGTATTTATAACCACATAATAAGTGATCATATGTTCATGGTTTATAGATGTAAGGCCCATGTTCCCTAGCAAGGCCAACCGTCAATTTTTTGATTGGCCTTATAAGGAACCACCGGCTTTCCTAGGAACACTCCCAATATTTTCACTTAAATCGAGGCAATTTCTTTTTTTTTTCTTGAGTTCCATAAAAATATCCTTACGCGACAATTCACAGTAAAAAATATAAAGAAACAATAGGTTATTTAACTAAAAACTTACGTTTTGCTGTGCGCGCGAATAACAATTATAACGTCGACGACCGAAGTCTATGAAGTGTGAGATCGCACTGCCACAATAGTGGCGCGAGCGACTCGCAGCCGCGTCTGTGGCCTTCAGTTTGATGGATTGTAGTGTGTAGTAGAAGGAATATGTCTTTACATGTCAATAACTACGACTTTTTAATAGTTGGCCTTCAAAGGAGCGTGGCCTTCCATGGTCCACCCACCTTAGGTATTTATTTTTGTTTAACAAATATTTCCCTTATAAAATTTAACGGTGAAATAGAAGTGACACTTTCCATCAAATAACTTCCTTAATTAAAGTTGTTACTAGTACTTACGATGGCCATTTCTTCTTCATCGTCATCTCATTTACCGTGTTATAGATACATATTAAAGAAAATGTAGCTGTCGGTGACGTGTCGTCGAGTAGTTAATGAAGAAACATTAATGAAATTTTTATTGAAAGATATAATATATACCTAATAGGTATCCAGGTACCTTTCATTAAGTAGGTATTTTTAACATTTTACTTAAAGTAAAATAATTTTAAAGTAATAAATCATTTTATATTTCAAAACAAAAGTCTTATTATTTTAACAAATTATTATTAGGTATTTAAGTATTTTATCTCTGATTTAGGATTAGGTAAGGGAAGGTTGGTTTTTTTGCAGCGTATTGTAGTATATTTCAAGCAATTGAAACTTACAATACCTACGTTTAAGTATTTAAAACATTTTATTAAAAGTACGGTAATTTTAACGTAGATGTACATATATTCTTATTTCGGCAACAGAAATTTTATTATTCTAACGTAAATTAGAGCTTAACAATATAATTCGTATTGTTGTTTTGTGTATTTTATTGTTTCCATTGTTTTTTTTATGTAATAAATAAATTTATATATTCTAACGTAACTAGTAATTTAAAAAGTAAAACATGTAATTAATTATGAATTTCTCTCTCTCCCTCTCTCTCTGACATTACCAAGGACTTAAAACTGAAGTAGGACATTCATAATAATATAATTTTTCGTAAACTCTGCTAACTAGCTCTTAGACTATACCTACCTTAAAAATTGAGCTCATTATATCTCTTAAACTAGAACGCGACTAAGTCTGTGGCTTGGCGACAAAAAATGACAATTAGTAACTAACTTTGGGATATAACAGATCTTCGCTAGGTTTTCGCTAGGTTTTGAACATAGGTATAAACGTGGCCAAGATGGGGAGAGCAGCCCACCAGCAGGCCCACCTATAAACGCTTATAACTTTCGAACCAATGATCGACATGTTCTGATAGTTGGCGACTGATTTCGGCAAATTAGAGACTAAATTTATGAAAAAACAGATTTTCGCTAGGTGCCCTAGTTTTTGACATACAAGCGTGGTCCTGGTGGGGAGACTGACCCCAGCAGGGCCGCCTATAAACGCTTATGAATTTTAAACCAGTGAACGACAAATTCCGATTATTCAAACTTCGAATCCATGACGGCTTCCAACTCTGTATCAGTGACACCAAAGCAAGTAGCTTGTGTAGCAAAAGTTAACACAAGAACCTTACTGTAATCGAAAAAAATACTTTGTTTTACGGTTTTCTGTTCTTCTTTACTCTATAACCGAGGTCGGTCGAATAGGGTAAAAGCTAATATATTTATCAGTCAAATATATGAAGTGATGAGTAATTAAAGTAAAATTATTTGTTTATAATTCAAACAAAAGCTTAATTGACTGAATGAATTAAAAAGTAAATAAGTTCTATCCGTATTTTGGCTTATGAGTAATGACCAAATCCCATTTTTGGACTTGTCAAAATGATGTCATATATGAGCCCAAACTTGAAGGACTTGCTAGTAGTCACCAAAAATTGTCTACTTCTCGACTATCTACCTTCTGGACCCATACTAGCTAACCCGCGCATCATGGTCTGCGTCTCCCGAAAATAATATTTTTTTCCCGTTTTTGCAAGATTTTTCATTGATGCTCAGCTCCTATTATTGGAAGCGATATATTATAAAGCCTGTAATCTTCCTCAGTAAAGGGCTATCCGATTCATATTTCCTGAGACCCGAGATAAGCACGTGCAACCAAACAAACAATCAAACTCTTCAGCTTTAGAATATTAGTATAGATACATATACAAATATGTACAGTTTGATTAGATACTAAAGATAGGCACAGGTCAACATTAATTTCAAAGACTTAGCTATATGGTATTTACAAGATAGGTACTAACTACCAACACTCCTGGCTCCTTCGTCCTCAAGGAGCAGAAGACTCAAAGTGATTTTCCACTCCGTCAAGAAAAAGTAGTACTGATGATTATAGGTTTAAAACAAAGAAAATCAAAGAAAGGAATAAGTATATTAAAGTATGTATATCAAATACTGTGCTATAACACTGCAAAGAAAAATTTTTCATTGGTGATGTTAACATTTTGTCAAAGTTAATAGACAGTTAAATCAAACATTGGTGATGAAGTTACGATCAATGCAGTATGAAAGATTGACAGACGACAAGAATCTTTCGTTTATAAATTTAACACCATCACTACAACCCGAGCACAACCTGGTGCTCAGCACCAGACTTGACTTTACCAGGTTTCCTGACGGCGCAATCGTTTCTACATATTGATCGAAACTGTACATAAAATAAAGCAAATTGATAATAAAATGAATAAATATTAACAGTAAATTCATTATGATTTAGAGTAATTTAATTGTAGTTATACGATGTGCAAAATTTTTAGCAGATTGATTATAATTAATGATCAACTTTAGACAATTTATTACATTAAGCGATTAATATTTTTAAAACCAATGAAAAACTAATGTATTACAGAAAAAAAAATGAAAATTATCTGGATCCATATTAATAGGGTGTTAAAAGTAGCGTGTCTTGCACGCGACATAGAAATTGATTTTCAGCCTGAATGTTGTGTTTAGATTCTTATGTTTAATTTTCTAATGCAAGCGTTAGAAAAATCAACGAACCTAATTTTAGAATATGTAGTCTTCCTGTTAGAAAATAAGTATTCTAATATTTTTAACAGAAAACAATATTCTTAAATTGTTTTTTTTAATTCGATTTGAATCGATTCCCTTTTGCTATAGAGTTCCATTACAATAGTAAGATTAAAAAATTATAGATGCTTTTTATTAATAAAGACACGACACATTTAACGTTACTCTTATAAGTGCTCTTATTCCGCACATGAGATGTTATAGTGATACTATTTAATTAATGCCAAAGTTCGACCACAGAGAGGAATAAGGTAGTCCCGGGTTAGCAGGAGAGGTGACAGGTGAAGCGGCCGGTGCAGTTGGAGTACCCACTTGTCGAGCGGCGCCGTTCGCTCCCAACAGCAAAGTTGTGGACGGGGGTACGCGTCTGCGAGACGCCAAGCTTCCCGAACCTGTCAAAACAAGCTCCTTTAATAACCTTAATTTCATTTCTTCTTATAGAACACATGCGATTTTTCTGCTTCTACATAAATACGAGTATGATCTAAAATAACCCGTTTACTTAATAATACTAAAGTGCTAATTATACGATGTTCTAGTAGATTGGTAGTGGCCACCAGTAGAAAGTTTACGGTATGGTGAAGCGAGCAGTCAGTGATGAACAGTATTTTAAAAAAATATTAAAAATAACGACTAAGTTTATGTTTAGCAGAACATCTACGTTTAACAAGCCCAGTTCTGAATATAAGAAATAAAGATTTTCGATAAAGGATTTTCCTTTACGGAAATGCACAATCAAAATTTACGCTTTTATAGCCCGTTTACACGCTTACCAAGCCTCGACAGGTGTCCACAAACAAGCGTGTAAAGCGGTGTTGGGCTCGGCTTGCGTGAGCTTGTCGTCGATCGGGACTAGTGTCAGTTTATGAACACAGATCAAAGGAAGCTTGCAGAAAGCGTTTGCGGCGTATTTACCTGTTAGCGCGTGCTTGTTCCCCACTGCTCAATCTGATATTAGTTGAGAACTTGGGAATCAGCATAAAGTCTCAATGCTATACTGGGTGAGCAGTAGGGCTAGAGGATTATTATTATTTTAGTTTAGTGCCGCCCTTTATATATTAATAAAGATATGTCCAATCTGCTATGTTTGCCTGTCCGGAACACACTAACACTCGCAAGAGTGTAAATGGCATTCAAGCGTTTGTAAAGGCATGGAGCTTGTGGACGTTTGCCAAGCCTCGGCACGCATGTAAACTAGGCATTACACGTTGTTTACGCAACATATAAACATGCAGCGTAAACCTATCCCACATACTCATAACTAGTTACCAGTTTCGGCTCCCTCCGGACAATACTTGATGGTGTGCGCCCGGTCGCCGGTTGCACCGCAGCGTGGGCAGCGAAACGCACGCAACACCGGACACAGCACGCGCCCGCGCCAGTCTTTCAACGCATGGGACGAATAACATTCCTCGTTCTCCCCATTATTCTTACAAAATGCACACTCCTAAAACAATATTCCAAATAACTTATTATGCCTATAATGCACGGATGGCGTAGCGAGTCTGGGTGTTATTTGTGTCCGTTTCATAAATGTTTGTAAAGTCCCCCGCGGCACAGGATATATATATAGTGCGGGAGTCGTCTTTATTAAAAAAAAAAAGTATTTTATACTGCTGTTTATTATTTAAAATATATTGAGTAAATCTTACATTAGGTAAGGCACGACGCATTCGTCTATCACTGCGGGCCTTAGCGACCTCTTGCAACAACTCGTACAATAAGCTTGGACGAATTGAACGCAGTACAGACAGCTGCTCTCGCGTTAGCATAGACACGTAGTTATTCGCAGATGATAAACCTGCAAGAACAGAAGAATAAACTGCAGATCACAAATTAAGAAATACATGTACCTAGTAATGCATGCTATATATGTTACAGGTGTGTAAATTAGTAGATTAGGGACTTCACTTTACCAAAATTTAGATGAAATTGCATACTATAAAACGTCACAAAGAAATTCTAGATACAGGAATTCAGATTTCGTCACGAACTGTGGTATAAAAGAAGATGTTATAGGGAGGCACAATAGCTTTTGTCGGCCGACGAGTTCCCAATTCGAACAAAGTTTAACCAACTTTAGTAAAAGTAAGGTACTGAGTTTTACATTAAACAACAAATATTCTTGTTCTTTCCGCAGACACGAAGTTTGAAAAATAAAATAAGAATGTGGTTGCCATGAGCATTCGATAATTAAGTAGACAGTAAGGAGCTAAGGCTACTTCGTACTTTTCTATCTGATTAGAATTTTAAAATAAACGTAAACAAAATGGCTTTTCTATAAATGTTTATTTCTACATTTGGAGTTGCTGAAATAAAAATAATAAAAATGCGATGCCAAAGATCATTTCACAATACAAATCTAATCAGGCAAGGGATTTTCAAAAACAAACACTTCGATGATTACGTAGGAGTAACAAATCGCACGCAATCTTCCATATAATGGTTGAACTCTTTCCTCTTGCAGACTAGGTGGGCTGCCAGCAACTCTAACATATCCTAAAAATATGTTATAAAATGCGAATGGAAGATTGTCTGTCACGCTTTCACAACTTAAATACTCACGGGACAAAAAATGCAATGCACACACTTTGTCAATTTAACCTATCATTAAGAACAATTCTCGATGCACTGAAAAATAATGGGTGCGTGACCGCGGGCAAAAGCAGTTTGTTAAACAAGGTTAAAAAGTATTTTCTTGCTAAGAAGGATTGTACTCACTTTTAACCAAGAAGTCGAATGTGTCCATCATTTCGTTGTTTCGAGAACTCTGCATGTTCATATTTTCTGACCATACACCAGATGATGACGAGTCTGATCGATTATATCCTAAAATTATACATATTCAATGAGGTACAGACGATATCTATATCCATTACTATTACAATACTAGGAAGGTATAGTGAATGATAAATTACCTGTAAAATAATTATTCATGCTGTTATCATCATTGTAAACATCGGATCCATTTAAACGAATGTTAGTTAATAATTCCTCCATTTCAGCGACAGAGGGAGCTGTTGAGATGCATTAATACTGTTAGAATTTATCCCAATATTACCACAAACATGACAGCGAACGTCATCGAATTAAAATAATTAAAAGAAAAGGTAATCGGCGAGTGACGCCTCCCTACAAAATATATTTCTCACATTTAAGATAAGGGAAAGATATTTCCGTATAAAGTCCTAAACAAAAATATTCTCACCAGAATCAGCAACCCTCGGCTCCTGCTGACTAAGCATGTTTAACAGTTCGTTGCCCCCAAGTCCTGACATCATCGGGGCCATCGAGGACAATACTCCGTTCTGAGTGTTACCCGCATTTCGCGTATCGGCAAATGCGTAGCTGTCCTACACATACGACAAAACTTACAAAATTCGCTTACAATCATGTAAAGATTTTTCACTAAAAATTTACTGCATATTTATTGTATTAGAATATTTCTATGCTTAAACAAAACGAAATTTATAACAAATTTATAACAGCGCATTAAATTGGAAAAAAAACAAGCATTGATTTAGATTCATAAGATGGTGGGTACTTTATATTTAGATATTGAACTCACTGTTGTTGTCGTGCCGTTAGGTTCACCGGCTAAGGTAAAAATAGGTTTCTGCTCCTCCGTAGCAAAGGTGGCTGATACAGTATCCATTTTCTACAACCCAAAATAAGCAATTTCTATTACAAAATAAAATATGCTTCTCGTTAGACGACGATAATAGAAAGGCCGTTGATCGCCGCTGGGGCACAATTTATACTTAGTACATTTTTATATATACAAACATAAATATGCTTAGTAAACTCGTTCTTGAACATTAAGGAATATCTACCCTCGGTCTAGTACTTATCGAACTCTAATTGTATGTACCTATTATGACGATTAGTTACTGATGTTTACAGATAAACTTGAATTTCCCAGCCACTAAGTCAAGAGCAAATGTCTAATCTTTAAAGGTGTTATGATCTGTTCATTTTCTAGTCGTAATTGTAATATTTTTAAAGTGAGGGTAGTTGTTTGGGTATTCTGGTTGAGCTCTGTGTAACATGTTAGCTGTTTGGTTCTAGAAAATTTTATATCAACTCATTACGATGATATTTTAAACGCTTTCGTCATTAAACATCTTAACAAACTCTGCAAAACAACGGTATGTTTGACATTGACATGTTTGAATTTTAATAATGTTTTTATTGAAATATTATGCTTTAAATATTTGTAAAGGTAATTAAAAAATGATTATTTTCTATTCATGTCGGAGCGTCTATTTACCCGTTAAGCACATGCTTATAAATTATTGAATTTCTTAATATTTAATTATGCTGAAAGACTTTTATGTTTTTAATGACCGTTATCCATGTAATAAGCAGTTCATATGAATAGGTACACATCTATATTACTGTATCAAGCCGCCCGAAATCAGTTTTTTTTGTTACTTTATGAGAACCTTCTGATATTCGTATACAACTTGTTTAACACAGCTTCTGTACTGTTTTTTACCCTTTGCTATTCAGCAGTAGGGGCACACTTAAACGTTAGAAGGTATATTTGAAAAATGATTATTACTGAAGGCATTTTTTCAAAATTACAATTTTGCCTGCTATTGACTGTAACTTAAATAACTTGTAAGTACTGTTATTGAAATATCTTTAGTACAAAATGTACAGTGACATATATAAACATCTTAATGTAGCCTGCAGAAAACGCAATAAAATTATCTAATCTTTGATAGCGTATCAGTCAATACAACATAAAAACATTACATTGTGACAAACGTTAAAAAAAAATTGACGACATATTATTTACACACGTACATAATGTGATGCATTATACTGATATGCATATGTACCCACTTTCAACATGTTAAGAGTAAGATGGTGAATAATTAAAAACATGAAATGTGAGAAAGGGGACACTTGGCAGTGGGAGTGCCTGAAGCACTAAGGGCACTACTGGTTTTCTGTGGGGAGTGCCCACAGAAAACCAGTGTTAGGCAATTTTATTTGTTGCTTTTCACCAAGTGTACTCATTCGGTCAGACATAATTGTAACAATTCTATGCAAAACTTCGACACAAATCATTTAATTATTTTGAAATTCATCGATAGAAATTGAATCTTAAATAGATTATAGTGAAAAAAAAACTAAAAAACATTTTTTTTGTACTAGCCAAACAAAAAACTAGAAAATTATTTTCTATAAGTTCTAAAAGAAAAATAATTTTATCGTAAAAATGCGTGGTGTGCTAGATCTGAATTGTTGTAAAAATATTATATTGAAAGCTATTGGTAAATGTTTTACTGAAAATATAAATATATTGCCTCTTTGGCGCAGCGGTAGCGTATGCGACTGCTGTTCTGATGTCTCGGGTTCGATTCCCGGGTCGGACCAAATGTTTGTATGCTCTGCAAATATTTGTTTGAAAGTTTGGGTGTTTTCTATGTATAATATGTATATATTTACAAAAAAAAGTATAAAAGTATTCTATCAGTCAGTTTTTATTAAAAAATACTATTTCATTATAAATTCATAGGCCTTTCTAAGGAGAAGCCTATGTCCAGCAGTGGACTATTAAAGGTTGTTGATGATGATGATGAATAAATATTATAACTACTTTAAATTGTGATTTTCAGCCGGTCCGCTCAAAACCCTTGAGAAAATGACTCGATATGCAAAGCTAAATTGTTTAATCGATGTAGTGTTTTCTATGAAGGATTGAAAAGGAAAGTTCTGCTCTTCATATAATTTTTTAGCAAAGCATCGCTGATAGTATACTTTGTGTGTAATTATTAACAGAAGAACCCAAAGTCTAATCTGCGTATGTGTAATAATAATCTGCGTCTTTCAAAGGGAAAAAAATGCACTGTTTAAAATTAACCGTCAAACGACCTTGCAACAATGATGCGTTGAATGAGATGAACAGACTGAGAAATCTGTCCAGCAATAATCAAAAAGTAAAAAAATAATTAAAAGTAAAAAAAAAACCTTTTTATCAACAAGCTTTTATTTAAATGCATTAAAAAGAATAGAATAAACTTTTCCTTTACAACTTTTACGAACAACATATAACGTCATTACACAATTTATATGATATAAAAGCTTGTCACGAAATTTACCTGTAAATAGATAAACAAGTAAATTAAATAATGCGATCCGATTGATTTTAATTTTTAAAATTTTCAAAACTAAGTAAATACGAGTACTTAAATGAGGGTTTTCTGAAATGTTCCACGTCAGATTGCAGCACTGTAGCGTCAGGTCCAACCACCTGTCAAAACACATACACGATTTGTATTTTTCGATCATTTTTTTGGTTTATTCATTCTTAAAAACGTTACAAAAGGAATATTGTTTTCTAAAATGCCACAGTGTCGTGCAGTGCCTACGTGTGCAAATAAAACTTTTGCGCCTCTCTTTTTGACCTCAATCTTCAGTTCGGCAACCTTTCTCTAGCCGTAATCTATAATAAACTCAATAACACTTCCAAATTCATAGAATTTCACTAAAAAATTATACGTTCGGTAAGAATTTGTGCTATCTGACAGCTGTTTGGACCTGACGCATACGAATCGCCAGGTGGCAGAAAAAACATCGAAAACCCTCATTGGAATTATTACCTGTGGTAAAAGTGGATCCTGTACAACAACCGTAAGCGTTCGTCTCAGTGGATTGACCCAGTTACAACTAATAATCAGTGAGCTAAAAAATTTTTCCATAGGAAGATGATGGTGACTGGTGGATCAGTGCATCACTGTGCGTCACAGATTGTACACACAGCTTGAAAAAAATAAGAAGTGGGAAAAGACTTTTTCCCAATTTTTTAAGTGGGAAAAAAGGCTTTTCAATACTCTTACCGTGTCTGGCACGAGGGATCTTTTAAATAAACTTCAAGCGGTTGGTACACCAACCGATCGGAGAGATCATTATTTTACTTCATATTATGACCTTTTATCGCCTGACAGAGTTGGCTACGCCTATGAAATTTAATTCCAGAGTCAATGACTTAATTTGTTGCTTTGACACAAAGGGGTACAATTTTATTAAACCCAATTTCTCAGATGTAACCTTTCCAAAACAACAGTGTCTCTTTTCTGTGACTTTTGAACTTCCTTTCTTTTCATTAATGTAAAAAAGAAAATACGTCTATTAACCACAACACAAAAAAAAAGATTCAGAGATACAACATTAAAGAGAAAAAAGTATATTTGTATTAAATTGACCTTTACAAAATTAAGGGTTTAAGAAATATGAAACTTACATGAGCTTATAGGCTATACAATTTTCTACAAAATGGTTTTTTTATGATTTCTCTAGGTCAAAATGCAACCGAGAAAATGGCGACAAACCAAACGCATTTTTCTTAAATTTCGGATCAGCTTAATTTTCGAGCAGAGAAATGCGTATAGGGGGCCGTTCAAGTAATACGTTAGCAGATTTATTACAATTATTTACAATTATTTATTAAAGAAAGCAAAGCTCCAACCCCCCCACCCCTTGCCATGCTTACGTAAACATTGGTATATGGATTTTTCTTTTAATGTATTCGGGTTTTTTTATTGATTCATGAGCAGTGTTCTAAGTCTAGAAATAAGTAATAGGCTTAGATTAGAGAACTTTAACATGGTATTCAACATAGAGTGAGGTACAATTAATGTATAATCCTACTTAATATTATAAATGCAAAAGTTGGTATGTTTGGATGTTTGTTACTCAATTACGCAAAACAAAAAATTTGGTACCCAGATAGTTTACAATCGGGATTAACACATAGGCTACTTTTTATCCCGAAAAATGCATGGTTTCTAAAGGAAGCGATAAACTATAGGTCACAGCTAAACCGCGAAAGCTTAAATAACATTGCTAACAAAACAAACTTATTTTACAATTTAATTCAAATTAACTTCTTTTAATTTTCACTCGAATCCATGATTCCAAGTTTTTAATGACATCGGACGTTTGCTGCTCAATGTGTTGTGTCTGCTCACTTTCGTCAGATTTTGGAATTTCAACATCGTTTTCGTCGAGCCATTCAAAATTTTGGTGCTCTAAATTTTCAAAATGTTCACATTAGTTCATTAGCACGACGAGCAGCCACTTTTATAGGCCTCACTAAAGAAGATCCAAGAGAAGTTCCATAAAAAACGCGCCGATATGGAATCAGCGTGTTTTTAATGGATCTTCTCGATGTGACGATTTAATGACTTGACGGAAGCATGATGAAGACCACACATTTTGTATGTTCCACTTTGAAGCTATCAAGCTTTAATTTTACCATCGCACAAAAATAATCGTAGGAATTCGAAGAAAATCTTTGAGTGAAAAATTCAAGCATAGAGCCAAATTGACTGGAAGATTGAGAAAATGCCCTCCATCCATGCCTTTTATTGGTGGCGGAAGAAACCTGTTGTCTAATAATCTAAATAGGCCACTTCTTAGACGTTAACATTCTATGTTTCTACATTTTACAATTTGAAGCAAGTATTGGCTTTCATGCACATGTTCTGAATACCATTTAATGTCTAGAAAATCAGGAAGGTCTTGTTCGCCTGGCCGAACATATTTTTTAGTAACATGATAGCCATCTATTTCCATTGAACTCCATATCTCTGCTAACCCGAAATTGGATTTTTCCAAATGTTCATTAATTGTAACGCCACGTTCATCCAGATGAGACCCAAAGTGGTCATGAGGCAATATCAAACCAGCCAATTCCCGACTAACAGGAGTCATTCTGCGCTCTACTCTGTTATACGCACTTCCACCAGGAGCATTTGTAGCTATAAACAATGCATCAAGATCTTAACGCATAAAGTGTTGTATAGCACCCTATAACTTTTTTATAACGCGGATTTTCGTCTGGCCCCCCATCAACCGTCACGATCACCACTGATTTTACCAATCCATGGTTAGTTTTAGCTAATACTTGAAATTCTTCAAGCTCGAGAAGCGTATGGAAATCATGAGCATGTGTATTAACAGTGAACGAGCTATGCTTTCCATTTCGAATAGCGATGTTTGTTGGTTCAGAATACGAGTATCCAACGGCTTGTTGTAGCATACTGACAGTGATTTTGATACCAGCATAAACTGATGGTATTAATTTATGCCGCTCAGCGATTACCCAGTCGTGATCAGGTTCCGTGTGGTGACGGATAATCCGTGTGGTGACGGATTAAGAATACAGAGCGTCACCATCCCTATTCATATCGTGGGTGTTGTAAGAGCCGACTAAGGGAGCAAATTACGCAGGACAAACCCTATACCAACCTGTCTAGCCAGCGTGGTATAGTAGGGCCAAATCCTCCTTTCTAAGGAGAGGCCTATGTCCAGCAGTGGACTATTAAAGGGTGTTGATGATCAAGTAATCCGATTCTATATTTCATGTCATTAGAAGAGATGCTCGCTTTTTGCCGCAGTTATAACAATAGGGACCCGAGCTTTATCATCCTGATATATGAAAAATACTTGATCTGGTCCAAGTATTGATGCTATGTTCTCCAAATAAAGGATTGATGTTTCGGCGACATTACTATCTAAGTGGCTTTTGTGGTGATCAGTCTGAGCTAGAGTGAGCTTAACAGGGACTATCGATACACGTCTTCGTCCCTCTGCGGAATTAGATTTTCTGCTAATCAAACGAAGATATTTGACTGCACGGATGGCGCAGTGGTTTAAGCGGTCGCCACGCCGCTTCCTACTGCGCCGAGTGTTGTGGGTTCAAACCCCACATGGGACAACACTTTGTGTGATCCACAAATTGTTGTTCTAAGTCTGGGTGTTCTTTGTGTCCGTTTCATGTATGTTTGTAAAGTCCCCCGTGACACAGGATATATTCCTAATGCGGGAGTTGTCTTTAAAAGTAAAAAAAAAAAGTATATGTCCCAATTCGACTAATTTTAAATCCTACTTTACGTAATTCTTGTGTGAGTGCATCATGAGTTTTTATACTGCGAATAGATTCCGCTCGTCTTCCATCATCTGCTGCACTCCCAAATAAAACAATATCCGTTGTTGTTTTTAATAGTAATGGTTGATCGATCTTTAGGTTAGGACGTCCCACTGAATCCCTCATGTTTTTTTATTTCTGTATTATCATGGTAAATCTTCTACTTTTCTTTTCATACCATCTCTGTTTCTTCTTTTAAATTTTTCTTTTTAACAGACTGTTTCGCTGTTTTTAATTTTTCACACCATTACAAAATCTGTTTATCAACTTCACCACGGCTTGGCATAGTATCTCTGGCAAAATGCAAAGCATTTAGATTTTTTCGAGTACAGCAATCTCATTTTTCGTTTCTTCCTCAATTCTCTTAGCCACAATAATTTAAGTTCCTTGTATTATTTTGCTTGTAACTTATAATTACGCCACACTTCGTTAACTAACTTCTGTACATTTTGCACTTTTGTGTTTGTATGAGATTTTTTTAAACTTTCGAATAATTGTTGATATAACTTGTATAAGGTCCACTCGCAAGTGCAAGAACTGAAGCAATGTACTTGTAGGTGCATATTAACTATGGATTATAATTTCTAGGCTAAATTATACGAAGAATTACTTACTTTTTCCAAATACTCGAAAATGCACTAACTCAACTCTGTGAACTCTGAACTCATTTACTTTTATACCGCAACAAAAATCAAAAACGCTATTACACTTTTTAATGAAATTACTTTGAACCGATAAGACTTTACAATTTGGAAAAAGGCTTATCCTTTCGAGAAAATGTCGGTACACACTAATAAACTATTAAATATCAACGTAATGCAATTTAATATATGTATTTTAAATAAGGCCAATGTTTATTTTTCGACGTAGGTACTAAGCACATTTTTAAAGTCTTGTTTAGGATTTGATCAGAGGAACGCAGAGGCATTTGGGGGCCCCCCAAGACCGGAAGCCCGGGGCGGGCCGCCCCTTCCGCCCCCCTGTTAATCCGCCACTGCTTATGTAGTCCTTAGAGACCAGACTACCAATAGTCCGGTCATTTTAGACATAAAAATAGTGATCAAATAAAAAAAAAACCGACAGAGCCAAATCTTCGTAGAGACCTTAGGTTTACCACAAGGAATAAAGTGTCAAAAGTCCCCATCAGTCCCATGTGAGCTTAGGGACTTATTCGGGATTGGATTTTTCTCGAAAACGGTAAGTTTTATCGAAAAAGTACCTCAGAGCAAAGTTGTAGATCTTAAAATTCATGTCATTTTAGACATCGACAATCCCAACTTCACGAGCTTTATGACAATTAATCTTATCGTCACCAACGACTCCTGAAGCAATAGATAAGATTTTGTTAATTTCGAGAAAAGGATCATGTGATGAAAACCAGTCAAGAAGTATTTTAATATCTTTAGCATCCTTCTTAACTCTCGAATCACTCGCATCTACATGTTGATCTGTCGTGTCCATTCGAACATTAGCAAGAACTTCCAACTCGTCACACACTGTGTTCATTGCATGCATTCCGTAAACCCATTTGCTTATTACACTTTCTTTTGTACTTCGTCCTCGAGAAATACCACCATCTGTTTTCATGGATTTCATCATTGATTGTTCGATAATCATATCTGTTGAAGTTCCACAACTGAGTTTATCAGAACGTCGAACAGTGAAAAATCCTTCAGTAAACCTTCGATAAACACTAGGATCAATTACCTCCTCTAATTGAAGCATATCCTGCAAGTATAAGTGCGCAGACTTAGCGTAAGGTAAATGCCCCGATGCATGGAAATAAGGAAGCATTTCTTTAACGCAGTTCAAATGAGCTTGCCAATCTCCCATACGTTCAGCTCTTATAAATTCTTTTGCAATGGACACCATCCGAAAATACTGTACCCAGAATTGTGCAGTTGGTCCTCGTTTCTGATATTCCATAAGCTTTTTATTAAATAAATCAAGTAAAAGTTCAGATATTTATTTGTTTTGTGCATACTATGTAGAACATGATTCTTACAAGCGCAATATCTGGAAAATAGTGGGTCTTAGAGAAAAAATCATAGGGACCATTTTTATAGAGAATTTTAAGATCTACAACTTTGCTCTAAGGTACTTTTTCGATAAAACTTACCGTTTTCGAGAAAAATCCAAAAAACCTAAAATTTTGACCTTGGGCCCCGAATAAGTCCCTAAGCTCACATGGGACTGATGGGGACTTTTGACACTTTATTCCTTGTGGTATACCTAAGGTCTCTACGAAGATTTGGCTCTGTCGGAATTTTCTTTATTTCAATTGTCTAAAATGACCGGACTACAATAACTTTGAGTCAGTAAAAATATGAAAAACAAGAAAAGCGTATCATTCAGTCATTTATTTAGAAAAGTAGTACATATTACAAAATAATCCTAATCTAATAAAATCAATTTTATTATGAAACTTTATTGAGCTCTATTTAAAAATTACATTAATTAAGAACCTTTGTATTTACTATAAAAATAAAAAAAATAGGAACTTTAAAACGACGCGCTAGTCCTTCTCCATCGGCAGGTTATTTATGACATACTTATTTTAAACTATAGCTAGTAAGTACTCTCATTATTTATATAAAATTTATAGCGAGGCAAATAAAATGGTGAATTAACTGATACAATTGAAATAATGCATGCTTATGGCTGAGGGTTAGCCAATGATACAGATAATTAGTAATATATTAATTTAGACTACTCATAGTGCCTATGTTGAAATTACTTACTCAAAAGTTTGTCATTTTACTATCATACACATACACATATTAACACAGAATAACTTGGTAAATTAAAATTAAGTATTAATATGACGTTAATATTATATTATTATAATAACATTTAATTCCATTAATCACTATTTATGTATATTCTTCGTATTACAGATATCAGAGGTATTATTAGTCTTCATGGTCATAGAAGAACTACACCGAAAATTCAAAGAGAAACTCAATTTCATCGACTACATTATAAAAACCAGATTGCAACCCAAATTCAAAATTTCGTCAGACAGGTAGAAACCTGTGTCATGATTTTAGTTATGATTGGATTGAACGGAACGATTAGATACCACTCAGCCCTATAATGTTTTTTGGCTTTAAATCAAGATGTGTCGGGATGATTTATTGTCACTTTATGATATGAAATGATGGCTCGGTGGGTTCAGAGATTTTGCGACGTCGGCGAATAGAACGGCGTGCGCGTGCGTGTGCGCTAACTCGGCGGCTTCATGCAGCGCAAAACGTATGTGCTCACCGTGGTGTCGTCTTCGTACACGTCACATATTGTGTCTTTATTGCATATACAACTGCCGAGAAAAATTAACAAATAAACAAGTGTTCTATACAATAAGCCAATATTAAAAGATCAATGTTTTTCCTAAACCAAAGATTTTCTTTTATAGTGAGATGTAATAACATTTTGGATTATTATTAAGTACAAATAAGTTTTGATGTAGTATCAAAACTTATTTGTACTTAAAAGTTTTGATGTAGTATCAAAACTTATTTGTACTTAAAAAAAAAACAGCATACAAAGAGTTTTATGCAAAAAGATTATTATGTAAACTCTGTTCTAAAGATTATTATGTAAATTATGTAAATCCCAGTCAACCTTAAGGCGATGCAGAGCTAAAACATGGCAGATGCACAAAAGAAATTAAAAATGTGATTTTATGAAAAATATAGCATATGTAGGATATCATATTATGCCCAGAGTACTTATATTAATTATATTAGAATATTTTTTAATAAATAATACATTTATAATAAGTAATAATAATACTAACACACACAATACATAGGTAAGTATTTATATATGCATATGCACCTACACATACATATAATTATATTACATATACACATATATACACACATATATATATATATACTTATACATACGAGTATATGTACAAATTCTAGAAGAGAAAGTAAAAAATAATTAAGATGGATCTGATAAGGAGTTTAGTAAATGTTTCCGCAACAGGTATTGGTTTACCGAGTTTTTGCCATCCTGATCCCGAATCGAATCGAATCTAAACTAGGTAACCTAACCACAAAAATGTATTTTTGTAAAGAAGATTACTTTGTATTATATGTTTAAACTTTCTTACCCCTACATACATATATGTAAACTTACTACGTATTAGTGATGTTCATCTCTACTCTTTTCACGTCGGGGTTGTATATGGACCAGCCGCAAGGTGTGGTAGGTGCACAGATCCTTGGCCCCGCTTCAGTAGGCTGTGATCGCTGAAATATAAAGGTACATTAATATTAATTTGTATAATGCAAGAATATCTAAACCAACATTATAACGAGGTAAAGTTTATGAGTTTCATGAAACGCATTGTTACTGGTAACGAGACGGGTTTACGAGTTTGACATGCAAACTAGTCAACAAGCTTCGCAGTGGCGCCTTCCAACTGAACCGAAACCGAAAAAATCACGCTAAAGTCGATCAAAAGTCAAAGTCATGTTGACTGTTTTCTTTGACTATCGCCGTGTTGTGCACTCTGAATTCTTGCCGAAAGGTCAATCGGTAAATAAAGAATATTTAAGCGTTATGCGGCATTTAAGAGAGAAAATTCAACGAAAAAGGCCAGATTTGTGGATCAGAAAATTCTTGGATTTTGCACCACGATAATGCGACTTCGCACAGGGTCATCATTGTGAACGAACTTTAGACTAAAGACTCAACAAATACCCTCGAGCAACCACCATATTCAACAGATATGGCTCCAGCAGACTTCTTTCTTTTTCCTAAATTTAAATTACCACTTCGTGGCGCCCGTTTTTAATCGGTAGAAGAGATAAAGGAGAATTCGCTTCGAGAACTGAACTCAATTGCGGAAACAGCGTTTAAAAAATGTTTTGACCATTGGAATTCGTTTTGAAGGTGATAAAATAAATTTGATGAATAACAAACATTTAGTGTATTACGAGTATTGATATTTGCCCGGTACTTTCTTGACAGAGTAGTATATTATAAATGTGACATAAACACCTAAACCGATTAAAAAAATTCTTTGACCAATGGAAAGCTACATACAAGCGGATGAAGCCGCAAGCAAAACAAGTACTTCCATACTTATTTCATGTAAAAGTAAGTTTAAACTTCTGAACCGATTTAAAAAAAAATCTTTCACTAATGGAAATCTACTTTATCAGCAAACAGCTTTAGATCGCGATAACCGACGTACACGCGAGCGGAGTCCCGGGCAAAAGCTAGTACTTTCATTCTTATATCGTGTGAAAGTGAGTTTGTTTGTGATGCTTTCACGACTAAACTACTAATCCGATTTAAAAAAAATGATGCACTTATAGATAGGTACATTATCTTATAAATAACAACGATACGAGATATTTTCAATTTGAATTAAACTACTTTCAATTCGATTTTAGAATGATATATTACTGGCTCTGTCTGCTATTTTGTCGATATGGCGGTAAAAAATAGCCTATATTACTCGCTGATAATGTAGCTTTCCATTGGTGAAAGAATTTTATTCAATCGGTTTAGTGGTTTAGGCGTGAAGGCGTAACAAACAAACACATTCAGATTCACATTTAAGTATAATATAAGTATGGAAGTATGGATAACTTATGTTTTATTCAAAATATGAAGTCGCATTTGCTAATAATTTTATACTCTTATATATTTTTATTAAGTAACCTATCAATATCAGCATCAGCCTCAGCATCCCCTGATATAGTAAAAACCTGTTACCAGCAGCAACCTTGGTACCTACTTATTTAATTTGTTACAATTACTTTTTAATCATGCAAGAAATGAATGAATAAAAACTAAACATTGTTAAAAATTAAAATCATTGAAAATGAGTTACGCAGATATAGAAAGACTATAAATTAAGTAAACGATGTTTTTGATTGATGTATGTCATAATAAGCGATAGTAGATACACGCGCCAGAGAAAAAGTAATGGGCACAAGTCATTTTTAATCTGCAAAGTATTGATAACATTGTCACAAAGGGCAAGCAAGTTATCAAGTACCTACATACGTCAATGCTTATTGTAACAGACTGTCGGAACTTTCTAAAGTGCCGAAAGATTACCCGAGAATTAAATGCAACGCATAGATTTATTAACTGTCTGTCATCTATATCATAAAAAAACAAAGAAAACCGTGGGTACCAACGATGTGAAGTCGTTAGAGGTTATGATCTCACTATAGATATATCTATAACATCAATTATTAGTAGTTATACTACGAGTAGAACTGTAGATAAAATTAACGTGTATATGTAGATTATTTGTCTTTCTTAGGCTTCACACAAAGACCTAGTTCGGTCCGAGCAAAACGAGGGTAGAGTAAAATAAAAAATATCAGTCAAGTTCTTGTTATACTTAGATTTTTATACAGTAGATGTGTTTGATATTTTTGTGTTTTCATTAATTAGTTATTCATTTGAAATATTCATTCTTAATTAGTGTCAGTGGTTCTATGTACGGACTTTATTAAGCTACGAGGGTACCATTCAGATATAAAATAAATAAAACACTTAATCATCCATAATACCTATTGAGAATTGAGATCATCACCCACAATAATATATCAACCCATATTATTACATAAAATTAGGTTGCAAATCAACTTAGTAATTAATAAGTTATGGAACATCTTAAACTTATTAAATATATGCAAAATAAATAAACAATTTCTTCCTCTTTTCATAGTAAGTACATTTGAAATAAAACCACTTCAGGTATTTTTCACAGCTTATAGATGTCAGAGCTTCTTCGTCGTCGTTTATCAACACCTTTTCATAAATAATATATAAATTAATTGGATTGGTGATATGGTAATTGGTAATCGAAATCACATTAACCCTAACGGTCGCTATTACCACTAGTGTCTGGTCCCAGCCCACAAGAATCCTCTGACCGAGCTACTTACTTGTTGTAAAATAATTAAATTACGTCAAGAGTCATGATAAGTACGCCAAGATGACACTAGATCGTACGATGTGTAACGTGCGCCCTTGAGCGTATCCGGCGCGTGCGCGTGTACGACACCGGCGCGTCGCCGCCGCTGCCACCGCCTCGCCCTTGCGAATCACAACCACCCACTACTATATACTAACTGTCACAAGTACAGGTTTCACGCTCACGTTATAGTGTGTAAACAGGAAACAGCATTCGGCCTTCGATATGTAGGCGATTGACCGGTTTTGTTTACTTTAAGTTATTGCGCCGCATTAATTCGAAAGAAAAATGGGTTATCTAAAATAGGTAACAATGTTTGCCAGTAGGTGCATACTTTATTTAAATAATATTATTAGTTTCGTTTCATAAATGATTTATACTTTGGAAGATGTAAAGACGTCTCTAAGACTCCCACTCTCTAAGAGGCCTCAACGAACGATATAATACAGTCAAGTACCCTATTGTCTTCTACCTTAAATAATTTGGTGGACAATAAATTAGGCTAAAAAAAATTATTTTAGAAGAGCCTCGTCTGACAAGAATTTACTTGAATGTCACTGTTCGAATAATGACGATTTTTTTTTTTCAAAAATAAATATAAATAACCAAAAATATTTTTTTCATTCCCAAATGCTTTTTTTAACTATCATTTAAATTATCATATATAAACTATCATATGTATTATTTATATATTAGGAATATATATAATATATATATTAAGATGAAAACAGTGGCAAACAGGCAAACAGGTGGAGCTCGACTTACCGAAAGAAAAGCGGTGTTAAACAATTCTTTCACAGCTTTCCTCCGAGTGAGCGAGTTATCGGAGCACAAACATCCTGATTCTTATGGCTCAAAGGACGGCAACGAACTTATGACACTAGAGTTGCAGGATGGGCATCTGCAGGCGGGCGGCAGCGGTAGTTGTTACTTACCATCAAGTGCCCTGCCTGCTCGTTTGTTCCCCACTGCTGATCAAGCGGCTCCAAAGTGAATAGAAATTTTCTGTGCTGTGATCCGAACTGACAAATAACAAGAATAATCCTGGTCACAATGACTCTTGGCTATTTTAGTCAAACGAGAAATATTTAAATCGACATTAAAATTTTATGAAGTTACAACGTCAATTCAGATCAGCCATGCAAATTAAAGACGGTACTTTGAAAAAATGTTTCGTAAATGTTCTTGAAATAAATGTGAATCTACACGTTCTTATACTTTCGCCAAGTCCATCTGTCCGCAGCTTTAAAAACTGTTAGTACCAGAAAGCTGTAACTTTGCATGGGCATTGTATATTACTTATATTTATCACACCAACAGTGGTGAAATAAAAAATGAAGGATAGAAAGTACCTTAAGTACCTTAAATAAATTACTTTAAGTACCAGTAAGTAATTTCTTCTTAATCTCTCAAAAATAATAAAGGGCGCGAAAATCGATATTTGCCCACAACTTTTTATCATGTTGACTCAGGACCTTGATTTTATACACCTAATAGGGACCATAGACATCAGTATCTGGTATAAATTTCAACTTGCTAGGTCTACCCGTTCCTGAGAAAATCGGTGGTGACACAAGGACAGACGGACAAGAAAGTGATCTTATAAGGGTTCCTTTTTTGCTTTTTGAGGTACGGAACCCTAAAAATTAAAAAAAAACACCTTCCAATGTTTTCAATGAAGAAAAGTTGGCGGTTGTTCGAAGCGGTCATAAACATTACTCACATCTATAAATAAATTTACTACATGCGTAGTTACCATTTTATTTATGGACTAATTTCTTGAAAGCTTATATCAGAGAAAAGTCTGAGGAATTCTTGGTACGTATTTCAAACGTAACATATGCAAGGCATTGGAATATGTAAATTTAAGATTTTAACTGTGTGCATTATACACTACCTACTAGTGTTTACATACATAATATTATATAGTATATTATATCTTAGTAGTTTTCCATTTCTAGTATTTATTTTTTAAGTTTTCTCAAAAACATGCAAATTTTATGGCCCTGTGACCGCTAATGGGATGCCCTTACCGTCACTAATGAAATGTCAAGGGTTTCTCCCCCCTAACCCCGAAAGGCCGACTGAAAGTGAAAAATCATCAAGTAGGCCTGACAGGCCGTCTCAGTCTACTAGACTAGAACAGTCGGTGCGCTTTCATAATAAGTTCGTTTTCTACAAAGTAGTAATCGAACTGTTCTACATATTATACCTGCCTTTAGGCTCCAAAAGACAGACAAGTCATTTTGAGGTCAATGTGTCCGATTTTATAATAAAAACCCAAATAGTATACAATACTTAAGTATAAACAAATTTAAATCCACAATAAAACGTAAACTATGTCATAAAACCTTTTACTCAATTTTCGATTACATAGAAGACAATAATGCTTAGGATTAATTTAGCACAGACTATTTCGGAGTGGAAAGTATGTTAAGTGGGTTTTTTATTTTTTCAATTTTTTATGTTTCACTTCACTTTCTTTTTCATTCGATCTTTTTTTTAAATCTGGTTTTCTCTTCATTATCTATTTACCTTTTAGTCCTTAATAACTGACATATTGACACACGTCGAAACAATGTTTTATATTTAATGATGCCATTGTATCTATCTTTTAATTTAAAAACGAGTGGCCGTGAGTTTGTTTACCCTTTTTGCTCATAAGGCTCAACCCCTCTTGGAAACGGGCAGATGTAGATCGGCATAGGCATATAATAGATTTTCGATGCGTATATACTGATTTTGCTAAATACTTGACAAAACAGAGATTGTTGCTTCTTCTGTAGATTCTTACATAAGAGACGATTTCAAGATAGATTCTTTAGGAATGTAGACGACGTAGACTACGTCTACCAAACAGTTGTCATAGTTAGCTATTCAACCCAACCCCTAACAGATTTCGTCAAAGATTTGAAAGAAGTGCTTTTCCGGGTACCGGCGATAAAAAGCTCTATAACAGTTTTCGAAGCCGGACGAATATTTCCATTTACTTTACCTTAAACGTTTACGTAAAATACAAAAGCCAAAACTTTTGTATTTTGTTTAACTTTTTAAGTTAAAGAAAGAGCTACAGTGGATTTTAAATTTTGTTGTTTTGCAAAAACATTTTACTGTTTTACTTTGACAAAAATGTAACCTACTGATTTTATATTTTTACTAACAAGATATATAGTGCAGGTAAAGTTTTAAGTTAATCAGTGTGGGCTATTCACTGTTTATTATTTATAATTTACACACATAAGATTTCTAAAAACAGTCATAAGTACGTACAATTTTTCATTTCCAATTATAATTGTGCATGGATGTTAAATTTTATTATGAGCACTTGCTGAGATTTTAAAGATTATTAAGTCTAAATAGCTTCCTTGAATAATAGATCGTTACCTCAATCGGCTAAGATAGAGATAATGAGATTAATATGTGGACGGAAGTTAACAGTATTCGAAATATGTAATGAGCTTTAATGAAAGTAATAACACTTTTGGCTATTTTATAAAAACATCAATCATTCTGGTAGGTAGGCATGTTAAAAATACGATTATGTGTTAAAATAATTAACAAAAACAGGCGGTTCACGACATGATCAGTTTATGTAGAATATAGTTATTAATGTACTCACTAATTCATAGTCAACAGGCCAATGTAATTCATTGATGCTCCTCTTTATCGACGTATTCTATGAAACGACGAAAAGTCAGACAAGATTTCATAGAATGTATAGTTTATTGAGTATAACGTGCGATTTTATCAGAAAAATTGCAATTACTATTATTTTTTCTTCGTAAGAAAGTGCAACTCGATAAGTTTACACTTTTCGTCGCTCATATTGTTTCCATTATATTACTATATCAATCCCATTATTCTTTATCACTAATCCCTTTATTTATAATATTTTAGCTTACATTTATGTACCTACTTGTATTTAAAGAATCTAGATTATGATACGTACATTTTTCTTAATAGTCAAGGAAAATATTGCACATATATTTAATTGACTTATTAAAGGAAACATAACATTTCTATCACTACATATGTGTAACTATGTGCTTAAGTACCCAAAGTTTACTTCCATAGCACTGTTTTGAGCAAAAAACCTTACGATTAAAACGAGGTTCAAAGAAAGGAATGGAAAATTAGTCTAAAGTACATCATTTATTTAATTGTGATATTCATTCTAAATTACGTAGGTACAAATTTAATTTAGCGATAAGGAACGTTCCAATAAATCTCATACCAAATTACACCTTGTCTATAAACCCTTCATAGAATAAAAAGTAAATATTAACAATAAGATTTGCAGGTACCTACTAAAATAGCATTTTAAGTTTTATGCAACATTTCGCAATAATTAAATATGAATTGTTACCACGGTAAACGTTTAACGCCAAAACAGGCAAGAAAGTATACATTTGATTACCTCTCCTATTGTTTCACAAATAAGTACTTCAAAGTCTACTCACCCTCATCCTAGGAACCATGGCAGCCGTCATGGTACAGATGAAGAAAAGAATCAACCACCCTTGCTTCATCATCACTACGTCGATCCTAATCAATTGAAAGACGTGTACTTGAAAAACAATCAACTAAGCGAGCTCAGTAACGCTGCGTGGAGCGTGATGGAGTGGCTGTGACTGGCGGGCGCGCCGTTATAAGTACCCACGCGTGTCGGTTGCCGTGAAGAGGAATCGAGCTACCTACCACACTATAAACATTTTAGCTGTGACTCAACTCTCAACAGGCTATCATCGATATTACTACGATGTATCGTCCAGAATCACTCTCTACTACGCGATACAAGAGCTTTATTATTGTTTGTGATTTAGTCATGAAAATGCATGAATGAATATATGATAAGTATATAGCGGGTGAGACTAAGTAAACATGTATGTACATTGTCCCTACACGTAAACTAACATACCATTTTTTAACATAAAGGCACCATATTTATAATTATTAACGATATTGTTTTTTAAAAGGAAAATTTATATTTTTGTGTAGGGATCCATATCAACTTGCTTCAATCCAAATTTATTGCAAAACAATCTAGTTTTTTATTAACTTTTCACTACCGTCAAGATTTTGTTAATGCACGTTTTCGAAATTTGCAGACTTAGAAAACGCCTGAAAATATATTTTTTTGCAATTTTTATTCGTCGTCATTACTGTCTTTTATTTGTTATTCATTTAAAATTGCATTGCTGAGAAGTCCAATAATTTCTCAACTTATTCCAGACTCGATCGCGAACCTAACGCTTGCCCTTCTCGTCCATATTGTGACGTAAGGCCTTCAGACCTCAACTTAACCAACTGTAATATTTAGTCAGAAAAACTTTTATTTTTTAAGTAAGTACATTTTAAACTATTTGATATATTATTAAAATAACATATAATATCATATAATAATATTTAAATATCAATGTATTTGAGACGAAATATGGTACTGGGTATGGGTATGGGCATTTCCTGTAGATGTTATTTTGCATTTGTTTTATAGACGATACAAAGTTCAGTGCCGGTTTAGCGGACAGTCATGCTGGCCAGTATACCAAAATTGTGGGTACATAAATATTCCTTATCAAATCAATATAGGGCAACATAAATACGTGTACGGTGACAAATGCATATTCTGTTGCATCATCTTACAGAACAGGTAAAGTGAGTGTATTTGTAACTAATTTAAGTTCTGCTTTTATTTCTAGCTACTTACGACGAACCGTCATGAGTTTCGGGCACATAAAGCTATTTATAACGTAACAGAAATTGACTGGTATTGTTAACTGAACGATAGATTTAGCCAAAGTTAACATAATGGTAATATTCACTTTATTCAAATAATTGTTTAGTTGATTCATAAACTCAGTAAGTTTGGAAGGATTTGATACAAAAATATTTTGTTATCTAGTGTCACAAATCTTGTAGAAAACAATCACGGTAAATAAGTGTGTAATGTTGTGTAATAACTGTTTACCCAAAACGTCACAGTGGTTTGTGTGTCACGACAAACAATATCGTACAATTTAAATTGATTCAACTATAACACCAAGAAAAGTGGCCAGCGTGGTATAGTAGGCCAAAACCTTCTTTCTAAGGAGAGCCCTATGTACAACAGTGGACTATTAAAGGCTGTTGATGTGATAACACAGAGTTGAGAGTCAGGAAAAGATAACTCAGTTCAAGTAAAGTATCGGAAAATGTTACGAAACAACGAAAGATTTTTATAACTAATCAATAGTTGTCTGCAGTTTCATCTGCGCTTTTAGTCAAAGCTTTGCTCTTCACCCGTATTAGGTTTCATACACAATGTTTGAGAAAAGAAATTTTCTTCATTTTTTTTGTGCCTTTGGATGCGGGCTGCACAGGACCGGTTAGGTGAGGCCCATGTCGAGCAGTAGACGTCTTTCGACTGAGATGATGACGATTTTTTAAAAATTTAAAAATGCGGAATCGCATTTGAGGAAGTGACAAATCCAAAAAAAAACATCTATAATCAAGTTTATAATAATAAGTAACAGGATTTATAACTCAAGAACAGCAGTCCTGTTCTTGAGTTATTAATCGTTTAACTAACCCGTCTTTGTTTTATTTATTAAAATGGTTTTAGCAAATATTATTGCTGATGTAGTAGATTGGCTTGGATAGGTTGTTCAAGGTTCATTGACTCAAGATAGTTAAGTTTATCCCGCTGAGTGCTTCAGTACCCACATTATAGGTTCCATAATACCCAAGCCATGATGTACTTTGATGATGTTAAGTTGAATATTTATAAACATGGCGCTAGAAGTGAATCTCCTTAATGTGACTTAACAAAAGTGTGTACGATGGATAATATAATATTCAAAGTCTGTATTGTAGTCTATTACTGTTTCCAGTTTTCAAACATAACACAACTTTAGCCGTTTTTAATATACCGCGCCGTGAAAACAATTGTGGTACTTATAGTTTTATATCTACATGTAGCTAGTCTGAATTGGATCTAGAGTAGACGAAGCTCGCTTGTCGACTCTAGGAATAATTTGGACGACATTCCCGGTCTATTCACTCTCAAGTCATGAAAATAATGTAAGGCGCGAGTTATTGACGCAAATAATTAAAACGTCATTCGCCTATTGATATTACTTTAAGTTTGACTAACTAATCAGGCATACAATAACGCAAAACACAAAGTTTCTTTAGTGATAAAGAAATCAAAATCATCTTATTAGCCATATCGCAATAATTTGGATGAAACAATTATATTTGACACACTATTAAGAAAAACCTTTTTGTCCCGCGCTTTTCTTGATAGTGGAGTAAAGTTTTCTTTGATAAAAAGAATAGAATTAATACCCACAGTGGGCAGGGCGTGTTGAGAATGGCTGGGCGGGCAGGTAGGTAGCAGTATTCATAGTGTTTGATACCAGCCCCGCTGTGTGGTTTAGTAAGTTCAAATCCAATATTATATTAAGCCTGTCTTTTTTATGCTAGCGCCACGCCGCTTCCTACTGCGCTCAGTGTTGTGGGTTCGATCCCCAAATGGGACACCAATTTGTGTGAACCACAAATTGTTGTTCTGAGTCTGGGTGTTCTTTGTGTCTGTTTGTAAAGTCCCCCGCGACATAGGATATATATTATTAATGCAGTAGTTAAAGCTATTCCTAAAGTATACAAAGATATATAGGAACTTATTTACTTAACTGCCACTCTTGGGACGAACTTTTGTTTTATATTATTATATATGGAGGCACACGAGTAAGCTTGATGGTATGTGACTACTACCACCCATAGACACGTGCAACTCGAGAATTACAAGTGCGTTGCCCGCCTCCCTCAGACCCAGGGGCAAAGCAATGAAAGAACTGCTTATCACCGGTTTTCTGTGAGGCCGTGGTATCCCTCCGGTTGGTAAAAGGCAAAGACTAGGAAAGAGCTGATGATCTAACGTCTGAACAGATTTTCTTAAATTATAGAGTGTTGGTGGGCTTAAATAATGTTGTAACCAAACAATCATCACAAACAAAATCGATACATCAATGTCGCCGTGACGCCATATTGTTTCATATTGTTAATTCACGTGTGTCTAAAGTTTTTATTCCTACTTGTCTCACAGAATAGTACTTGCCAAAACATATATTAGTTAATTGGTTATTGAAGCATCACTGAAAATAAACTACAAGCAGTAAACAAAAATTCGGCCCACTATTTGTTATAATCCTATGAAACATTCTCTCTTCTGTTTTCAAAATAAGAAACTGCCCATTACGTAATCTTTACTACATACGTTACGTAGGTTGGTTTGCTTATGGTAAAACTCAGAGGAAAATTTTGCTCTTTTTGAACAGTGCCTTAATATTTTGTTGGTCGAAAAATGTAACATAAATATTATAATACCTTATGTACATGGCACTTACTGACACTTTGTAGAATATTACTTTTACGTTCAATATGTTGATTAGTTCGTTTTGAATTTGTGATACTAACTCTAACCGCTCTGACTGAGAATAGCAATAGTTTGCCGACAGAGGTCGACAGGCATGTTCTATCAATACATATTACTCACTGGTGTAATGATATGTCAAGATTACGAAGGTCAAGACGGGAGTTGAAAAACAAAAATATACACACATTCAATTGAGATGACAGCAATATAGTTTGTAGATTACTGTACACCCTACGTCCTACATCGAAACTGGACAATGGACAGGCAAGTTATCGTTACTAATTAACTGTTTCGATAGGTCGAACATGTTTACAAAGATTGACCTATCTATATGATATACGATTATTGTAGCTAAAGAATAATATTAATACGTACCCAAAAGATAGTACTTTGGATTTTATAATCATACCATCACTATTTTCTGTCATCGAACTCTTTATGACTTACAAGGTTTTTGAACCTGACATTGCCGAGATCCTACTCAAGAAGATTTGTTACGCTAACGTCACGATTTTGATGTTGCCACAGTCAGTGATGTATCGCATTAGACCCACAAATAAAAACGTTCCAACCATTTGAAATATATATAATATAGATTTATTGTGTAAGTGACTCAGTACCATGTATAATGACCAAATGCATAATGACCTCAAAAATAGGCCCGATATTCTTACCAGACACATTATTCGACGATGATTCCTCATAATTCAGTGTCTCTCTGTTTTTGGATGCAAACTATACTCACGAGCTGAGATATAATATTGTGTTGTCATAACATTGTGTGATGTCATACTAAGATATACCTACGACACCTATACACACATATACACATATACTACACTAACTCAGTTTAACTCAAGTTGTTATTACATTGTTTTGCCAAAAACACACCAAAAACACTAAAAAACAGTTATGTCATTATTTATTGTTATGATACCTCTCGATTATCTAAGGTCAGACATAGTCATAAAATTTTAGATCATTTTTCTATCGCATCTTATTCTGTAACAGATTTTAGCCCATGAAGCAAAATAATGTCTATTTTTATTATTCCTCTTTTTATTGTACGAATTC